TGAGGCTCCGTCACGAGTCCGTCGCCATACTCGCTCTAGCCGTCTGAGATCCCGCTTCATTTTCCGGAGCTCCTCAGTAAACCAAGGGGCCCGGTTTCGACGGGGTCGCAGAGGGCGCTTAGGCGCGATCTCATCAATAGCTGCCAAGAGCCGGTTATTCCAGTCCTCAACAAGGTCATCTAATGAGTCGCCAGGAGGAGCAGGGTTCCGCAAGGCTTGTCGGAATCTATCAGGATCCATCAGTTTTCGCGGACGAGCCCAAATAGGTTCACCACCCGAGTCGGGGAGGAGCGGGAAGTCAATCTTGGCTTTCAGAACGTAGTGATCAGACCAAGGCACTTCCACAGCGGGGAGCATGATCACATCTATGCCAGCCCCAAAGATCAGATCCAGCTTGTGGCCTGCTTGATGAGTGGGGCCCAAAACAAACTGGGAGAGCCCTAGTGTTGCCATGGAAGTCAGTAGGTCCAGAGCCTGTGAGGAGGGAGCGGCATCGGCATGGACGTTGAAGTCTCCCAAAACCAGTAGGTTTGGGAACTCCAAGGCCCAGCCCACCACCACCTCCAGCAGGTCTGACAGGGTGGCTGCAGGTGTGCTGGGTGGTCGGTACACCAGCCAGACAGCCAAGCTCTCCTTGGTGCCCCACACGAGACCAACACATTCAATGCCGGAGATCGTCGGTGATGGCAGAGCTCTGAAAGAGCAATCCTCCCGGAATAACAACGCTACTCCTCCCCCCCCCCCGACCCACAGTCCGCGATTGATGGAGGACAGAGAAACCTGGGGGTGTTATCTCATGTAGGGAGACTACTTCGCCTTCCCGTACCCAGGTCTCCGTCACGCAAGCCAGGTCAATCCCCTGCGAGACAAAAAAGTCACGCATGGTGGCGGTTTTGTTGCCTATGGACCTGGCATTGCACAGCACCAATGACGGAGGTGTGTAATCCTTGCTCTCCCTACCCTCATCCCTTGGGATGGGGCGTAGATTGGAAGGGGTTCGAGGATCACTGCATCTCGAAACCCTTCGCCGATAGAGATATCTAGCCCCACCGCCATTCCTCCCTAGCCCTTCAATTGTGGAAATCCCAGATCCCATACTAGCCTCCCCAATAGATGGGTAACATCCCCTCAATAACAAGTCATCCTTGGGCCAGGACTCCTGGGTCAAAATGGTATGGGAAAGAGGTGGAGGTCTGATAGGGTAAGAATCCCTAGAAGATAAAACCCAACCAACTGCACCCCAAGTGGGGGGGACAGACCCATGGTGTTTCATTAACTGTCAATCCCCCTCTCCCTCCTGGGTTAATTGGAGGATTGTTGGTTCTATCTGTGGCTGTGGAAGTATTAATGAGGTATGTGTTATAAAATGTGGATCACTGGCCAACAAAGAGCCAGATTCGAATTCGGAAGATCTGTCCATCCTGTCTCGCCAGGAGTACAGTAGAGAAGGCTGATCATTCTGATAAGTTTTTGGAACATTAGGCAAAGGTCCAGATGTAGATTTGGTGCTGGATATCTCCAGATTGTCAGCAACATAGAGTTATTTAGGTGTTGTTGCCATAGAAATGTCGGAGGCGCCAAATTCCTCATCTAATTTGGTGTCATTTGAAAAGGGAACAGGGAGTTGCACTGATGTCTTTCTATGGGATAAAGAGCTGTTGGACGTCTTTAAATATTGTGCTCTAGGCTCTACTGTCCTTATATTTTGGGTAGAAATCTCAGTCTTTATACTCATTAGCCTCTTCTTCAGGTCTTGTAATTCTAGGCTTACAGAGTTCTTTTCTTCCTTCGGGCAATTAGTATTTCTAGTGTTGAGCTTGGTTTCCTTTATCCGCATTAGCTTTGACTCTATGCAAGGGACCAATTGCCTCCTAGTTTCGTCCTTAAATACCCTCACTGGGCGGAGAGAATGGAACCACCATAGGGTATCCTTTATCTCCATGAGTCGAGATGGGAGGGTTGATGACCTAAAGGTCATAAATAGGCGTGTGGTGTTTCTCAAGGTAGGCAGGAAGTAGAAATTTTCTAGATCTACATTTCGGTAATGGTAATTCAGGAGCTGAGACAAGGACATAGTAATTTGTCTGTGGTTCATCCACCTATGAGTGTATCGGTGAATCTCAAGCATTATCTGGTTCGTTTGCAAGACTTGATAGGACCTCACTTCATCCATCGTTTGAGTTGGTGAATTGTTAACAGAGTCATTTCTTATCATCCTTTCAAGCCCTTGGGCATTTAAAGGGGAGGAACTAGTATCCAATTGTTTCTCAGTGTTAACTATTCTGGTGAGGATTTCATCCAGTCTTTGGAGAACCAGAACCATAGTTTCTGCAGACAACATGCAAATCTCTTGGTAGGGGTGTGTATCCGGAATCGGTATCATCAATCTCACATCACCTCACAACCAGAGGCATAGGAAGGTCAGGTGGTACCTGGTGAGGAAAATTTCTTGTCAAACCACACCCCCCCAACACACACACACATTGATTTTTTTTTAATTGATTTTTTTGCCTGCAAAATTGGTTTTACGTTATTTCATATTTTCCAACAAAGGAATGTGGATTCTGGGCCTCTGATAACAAGTAGGCGACTATGAACAGATACTTAAATCTACAGGATGGATTGTGTTTTGGCTTGTGTTATTTTATTTATATTTATTGTGGTTTACCAAAACACAAAAAAACACCACAGCAGTAAAATAAAATAAAAAATTAACAATCCTACTTTAAAACATACAAAAGCTAAAATATTAAGATTAAAATTACTTCAACTTCCTATGCATCTAGGTATGCTTGCCTAAAGAAGAATGCTTTTAGCTGGTGCCCAAAAAGAGTCTAGCAAAGGCACATGCTTTGTTGCAATAGGCGGAGAGTTCCAAAGTGCAGGTGCTGTCACAGGAAACAATGCAGTGCAGATATTATGTGGAACCTGCAGTATCTGAAAATTCAGGCATATCAGTTAATATCTTGACCCTGCTCCACTGAATTGAAATTTCAGCCTTCACGACATAGGAAAACGGCCAAGTAAACAGGTATTTTCATGGAGGAGGGTCAAGTTATTAACTGATACGCATGAAATTTCTTATATAGCTATATAATCCCTAGTGTGGTAAGATAAGACCTTTGGAGCAGGCATTTAAAAAAAAAATAATTATGAACCGCCCTAGTAGGGCAGTAATTGTTCCTTGATAATTTGTCAACCCCCCTCCATGATGGCACCTGGGGCGACCCACCCACCCCCTTTCCTACACCCCTGCTCACAACCCCTGAAGCCCTCTTAAGTTTCATTCATGGGACTGTTATATGCCCCTCCGCAACATTTTCTAGCTTGGGTAAGAGAACCTACAGCCCTTCAGATGCTGTTGGATTCCCATCAGCTCCAACCTTCACAGTCAACGGTCAGGAATGATGGGAGTAGCATCTGCAGGGCCACACATTCCCCACCACTGCTCTAGACCAATTGGAACGCCCACACTACAAACACTGCTATGTATTTCTTGTTGTTGTCGGTCTTAAGATACAACGGAGTGCACCTCTGGGGGGTGAAGCCAAAAGCTGGAGAATCGCAGCACCTGCTGTGGCTGCTGAGACCTTGTAACTGCTGCCTCCCGCATTGTTTTTGCTGCGCTAGCAGCACGGAAGTGACCACTCTGGTGCACAAGCCTGGGCAGGGTATATGGAGGTCCTGGTCTGCCCAGAGGGCAAGACCACCCCTCCCTCGGCCTCGCTGATGGGGTCCAAAGGAAAGCAGACCAAGACATTCAGCACCAGCTTGGCTGCAGGAGTTGCCAGAAGGAAGTACAGTGGTACCTCGGGTTACATATGCTTCAGGTTACAGACTCCGCTAACCCAGAAATAGTACCTTGGGTTAAGAACTTTGCTTCAGGATGAGAACAGCAGGAGGCCCCATTAGCTAAAGTGGTGCTTCAGGTTAAGAACAGTTTCAGGTTAAGAACGGACCTCCGGAACGAATTAAGTTCTTAACCCGAGGTGCCACTGTATGTATACAAGGCGCCATCCAATTGTCTTAAGGACTTCACTTCGGATTTGTGTAGGGTTTTACTTCTTAGCCGTTTCTTCTCCCAGAGATGTCCCACATGACAGCTATAAACCGCTTTTATGCTGTGGCTGTTAATATCATCATCATCATCTTCATCATCATCTCACCATGCCTCCAAGGACCTAAGAGTGAGTCTCCTTCCCTTTGTATCCTCACAACAACCCTGTGAGGCAGACTTGACTGTGAGGTACCAACTGGTCTAAGATCGACAAGGGTTCTTGGTTACCCACCCGGGATTCGAACCCACACCTTCTCAGCTTTAAGTCCAACACTGCAACCACTGCACTGGCCTGACATCTGTAAAATACGTGTGGTTTCTCTGCACAGGCCCTGCACTGTTCCATAGCTGTTGTTGTTGCTTAGTCGTTTAGTCATGTCCGACTCTTTGTGACCATTCATTTTACTGGTTTTACGCAGGAAAGCCACACTAAATGTACCCATACTAAAAGTGAGACATAGTCGTCAGCCTTCCATTTGCCCTTTTTGCATTTTGGATATATTTATTTCACAAAAGCCCACAGCACGATAAGCCACGCCATACAAAGAACATCCTTCCCCAAGAATCCTGGGAGCTGTAGTTCGCCTCCTCCCAGAGCTATGATTTCCAGCACCCATAACAAACTACAGTTCCCAGAGTTCTTTGGGAAATCCATGGTGTGGGTGTGGCCCCAGTCACTAAAGATGCCATTCGGCTGCTAGGGGATATTCCAGCTTTTATATTGTGGAATACAGTTGGTGTGTGACCCTTTCATTTCACCCATGTCCTTGGTGTAAGTCTGTTTCTTGCAAAGTTCTCCACACTGCAAAACGTTGAGTTGTTAGTAATGCACAGAAACCTTAATGATCACTGTCAATTAATTCGATATTTAAATAAAAGTATGGTGGGTTATCAGTTTGCCACGATTCATAATAGAGAACCTCCATGCCCAAGGGAAGTATACCTGCAAACAGCAGGTGCAGACAGTAACCACCTTCACACCCAGATTGTGGATGTAGTGCAGCTGACCAGCGCTGAAAAGAAAATCCAGTATTAAGTGGACTCTTGGTCCGAACCGCTAAAGCAGTGTTGTTTCCTTGTTGTTTTAATTTCTCGCTGATCTTGCTTTTCCTTAAAAACAGAAAAAAGCTTATTCATCTCCATATTTAATTGCAGAGGTGCGTTTCAGGGGCGTCTCATTTTTTAAAAAACGAATAAACCTTTTCACAACCCATCTGGAGAAGCGTCTTTGAAGCAGCGTTTTCAATCTACCTGCCTTTTTACAAACTCCCCAGAGAACATCATATCGCCCCCCCCCCCAAAAAAAGAGCACAAGTGTTGCTCCCGGAGAAACACACACAGGGACCCAAACAACCGCCTGCAATTCTTTTTGTTGACAACAAGTTTCCATGAGGCTGTTGCCTAGACTAGAATGATAAAGCACCACAGCCAGATCATCAAACATTCCTGTTTCTATGGCAAATTCCCCACAACACCTTGAGCGCTTTCGACTTTCAGGAAAACATGTTCTCTTCCATGTGACCAAGATAACATTACGTTATCACAGCCCTCACATCTTCAGGCGTTGCATCTCTCGAGGGCTCAGAGCGCCCCCCCCTTTTTTTTTACAGGAAGAAAATAAAGCCATGCTTTCTATCTTTGCAACGAGCTTCCATCATCCAACATCGTGGAAGGTTTTACCTTGCAGGAAAAGAACCCAGCCGATCACCTAGTGCCACAATTTAACTCCGTTATCGGAACGCACCCTAGCTATTGATAGCGATTAGTCCACCTCAGAAAGCAAATTCTTATCACGCGTTTTCCCCAACAACCCAGAATTCATATGCTTTTTTTCCTATGCCGATAACCCACAACCCGCCATCACCAATCCAGATTTATTTACCAGGGTGTTTTTCTCCCCTTACAAACCACCACGGTTTCTTGCAAAGTACCCTTTGGGTAAAAGAGGCACGTGAATGAGAAGCATCTCTGAGCGTTACATGCGTGCCACGAGCCTTCCCAAAGGCTGATTCACACATTACATTCAGCACAAAACGCAAAACACCACCGAGGTGGATTTGCAGACACGTGCATCTTACTGGGAGCCCGGGATCAAGTGCAACTCCCGGCTGGGTTGTCTGCACACCCCTTTGCTGCAGCAAACCCGTGTGTGCTGCCACATAACGTGGGAAACGGCCCTAAAGCTACGCTCTCCGTTCCAGGATCTGGGTCTGCAGCTTGCTAGAACCCAACCAGAAACATGTTGTTGTTGGCATCGTGGCATCGGCCCACCAAATGACAGCCCCCCTCCTAATATCCATCCCACTGAGGAATGCCAACCCATATGGACATGATTCCTCACCCCTGGTCCCATCCAACCCACCCACCCCCCGAACATTTTACCCTGGCCCATCGCGCAAGCAATCCATCAACCGCGCGCCCAGGTGTCATGGGGTGCCAGCAGCGACTCACACGAAGGCGTGATAGAGCAGCGCCCAGCCCCTCGGCCTCTCCAGGGCGTCGTAGATCAAAGTTTGCATCCGCCTGTATTTCACGTTGTTCCTCTTGACGGGTCGGCTGAGCGGCGTCTTGGCCAGCAGCCCAATCCCTTGCGCGGACCTCTTGCCACCGTCTTCCTTGCCCGCCCCTTCCAGCAGGAGGGTCCCATCTTTGTCTGCCCCGGCGCCTAGAGCCAGAGCGCCCTGCTCCAGGTCCCCAGCGGCCAGCCCCACTTTCTTCTCGTCCCCGACGTGGCCGCCGCTGCCACCACCATCAGCCCCTGGAGGTGGTAGCGGCGGCGATGCTCCTGCTGCTGCCGCCGCCGCCGCCTTCCTGGATTTTAGTCCCATCTTCCTCTCCTCCTCCTTCTTCTTCTGCCCTGGTCCTCAGAGGTGAGCAAGGGGTGCGCAGGAACAGCAGCCGCGGGGAGCCAAAGGCCATGGTCTGCGCCCACCCTCCGATTTTCTGGGGGGGAGGGAGAGGGGAGGGCTCCCCCCTCCCCAGCAGGGCAGGGCAAGGGAGGAGAGAGAGGGGGGAGAGCTGGAGAAGGAAGGAAAGGAAGGGCGAGGGAATCACATCCTCCGTCAGGTCATCGCCTCCCCAGGGGAGATGGGCATCAGCTCCGCGGGCACCGAGGAGGCATCAGCGGCGAGGATGCTCCGGAGGAATAGGAGGAGGAGGAGAAGGAGGAAGAGAGAGGAAGCTGGCAGCGGCAACACCTGGTCCAGCTGGGCAGGGGCGAGCAGCTCATCGCAGGGTTTATTTCCCAGCCCGACGCATGAGAGCCCCGGCGCAGCCCCCCGACCCTCCTCGCGCGCTCCAGCTTCCGATGCCAGCCAGGGAGCGAGTTTTCTCTCTCCTCTCTCTCTCTCCGCCCAGCCCTGCCCAACCTCACCGTAGGGCGTGGTCCATTGTAGAGATGGGAAGCCAGCAAATCGCAGCAGCGTCTCAACCGGCTCCTCCTTCTCTTCTTTCTCCTCCTCCTCCTCCTCTTCCTCCTGCCCAGTTTGGCGAGCGCCCGGCGCGTAATTGCGCACAGAGCGGCGGCGAGAAAGGAGGCTGGCGTGCGCTCTCTACCCGCCACCTTTTATGATCGCGATTGCCGATGGGTGCAAAAATATAAAATAAAGGGAGAGGTGGGTGGGTGGGTGTGAATCCCCCAGAACCAGGCGCGAGGGATTGCCCCTCTCTCCGGTAGAGGCAGTAGCGGCGATCGCGCCGCCAAGCTGGCTGTTTTCGTGGCGCTCTCTTTCCGTTCCAGGCTTGGCTCTGGTAAGAGACGGGAGGAGGAGGAGGAGGAGGAGGCCAGGCTAGGGGGTTGCCGGGACTCCACGCGGCTTTCGGGCTGGGAGGAGGTGCGGGGAGGCTGCGAGAGGGAAGGGTGCTGGCGTCACACACAGACACACACCTGCGCGATCACCTTCTTCCCCTGCCTTGGTCCCAACGCTCCCAAAAATTCCACAGCTGCAGCTTCTGGATCCCGAAAGGAGCCGCGTTCATCGGTACGATTTTCAGAACGGTCTGTGATGACGCCTGTTTTCCCAGGGCTCGGTCATAGGAGGAGGATTTGCGAGAAAGTGTCCCTAAAACACACGTAGGGGTCCTCTTCTGAACTTGCAAAGAGTGCCCCAAAGCACATGCAGAGCGCCCTCTTCTGAATTTGCAAAGGGACATGCAGAGTGCCCTCCCCTCATTTTTGTGAGATGCCAGGATGTGAACCTGTTATGATAGAACTGTGAAGTTGGAAGGGACCCTGAGGATCATCTAGTCCAACCCCTGCAATGCAGGGATGTGCAGCTGTCCATAGGAGAATCGAACCTGTGACCATGGTGTTACCAGCACCACGCTCTAACCAATTGAGCTAGAATGTAATCATACACAAAAGCCCAAAAACATGTTCTTAGACTGAGGTGTATAATCCATTGACTGCCCTTTGTGGTCTATTCACAGCATGATGCAACCCTGTGCACATTTACTTGGGGGAAATTCCAACTGAGGCCACTGGAAGAAAAAACCTGATTCAGACTAATGGCCCATCTGGGCCAGCAATATTATTATTTTCCTGGGGTAGCCAATGTGCCCTGCAGATGTTGATGAACATCCCACAAGCCCTGGCCAGCATGCCCAATGGTCGGGGATAATGGACATTGTAATCCCGACACATCTAGTGGGTACCACATTGGCTACCTCTGGGCTTTATATGGACTGGCAGTGCTCTGACCCTTCTACTTGAAGTCCTTCAGCTGACTGGATAGCTCAGTTGGTTAGAGTGTGGTGCAGATGATGCCAAGGTTGCAGGTTCGATCCAGGCATGTGGCAATTGCATATTCCTTCATTGCAGAGGGTTGGACTAGAAACTAGATTATCATTGGGGTCCCATCCAACTCTGCTGTTCTGAAGGAGCTGGGGTTTGGCCACAGAATCTTTTCCATGCAAGTGAAGCCTATGCTCTGCTAGTAGACTTAGGGTTTCTTCCTTGAGTTCTTGCTTCTGAGTAAACATGCATGGGAGCAAATCAGGCAATCGGGTAATAAACCATAATTTCTGGGACTCTCCTATTGCACTCATGTATATAACCAATATCAGTGTCAAATAAATGTATGTTATGGCCCAAAGGATGGATTGGAAATGGGAAAAGAAAGCTTTCAAGAACTGTGGCTCCCAAACTAGATGGATGGCCCATACATTGCCAGCAACATCTCATGGCTGCCAGATGGCGGGTAGTGCATCAGAGCAGAACGTAGGCTTTTCTGCATGTAGCCAGCCAATTATTAATTTTTCCTTATCTCCCCCCCGCCGCCGCCGTATCCAAATAACAAATGGCAGCATCGATGCCAAAACGATGATCTTATTATCAGTTTTGGTGATAAAAGAACACAAGGTAACATTTCTTCAGCAAGATGCAAACGTAATCCCGGCTGACTAATGCTCCACCAACCACACGCACCTCAGCCTTTCCTAATATTGAATCAGAAGCAGTATGGGAAGGTTTGAAAGGGCTGTCGCACCCAAGCGCTGACCACAGAACAGGGCATCCCAGCAACCAGTTGTAGACTGCAGACTGATAAATCTACACACATCTTTGTGGTTGTTCCCAAATTACTTTTATTGGAGAAAAATGCTAGTCTAACAGCAGACTGCAAATATATTTTTTCACTATGCATAAAGAAACAAATTCTCAAAGCTATTCTGAAAATTATAGCCACTCTGGTTGTGCGCTATTTTTAGTTAGCAATTGTATTTATTTTATTATTGCTATCTACACACACCTAGATAGCAGGGTAGAACAAGCAGACAGCAGAGCTGCTGCCTTTGGGGAAACCCAGCCGGATGGGTGGGGTATAAATATATTATTATTATTATTATTATTATTATTATTATTATTATTACCACCCACCCACCTATATCAATGCCTGTGATCTAATTCCTCGAGTTCAGCCACCTTCCACTGTCCAAACCTATCATCCTTTCTCCCTTGCTGCCTTGTATGCTTGGAACTGCACCCCAGGACACTGGTCTTAACATAATTCAGATCCCTCCTCAATTCCACCTTTTCCATGACGTCTTCCATGACCGTTGTGTGCTATCCCAGACTCTGAGTGCTTGGAGACTCCAGGGGTGGCTGCACAGATTTTGGCTGTCTTGGAATGAAGGTTAGCAGAGACTGTGGTGTCTTTCAGATATATGGTTTCATTTATACATATGTATGTACAAGGGACACGGGTGGCGCTGTGGGTTAAACCTCAGAGCCTAGGGCTTGCTGATCAGAAGGTCGGCAGTTCAAATCCCTGCGAAGGGGTGAGCTCCCGTTGCTCGGTCCCAGCTCCTCCCCACCTAGCAGTTCGAAAGCACATCAAAGTGCAAGTAGATAAATAGGTACCGCTCCGGCAGGAAACAGCGTTTCCATGCACTGCTCTGGTTCGCCAGAAGCGGCATGGTCATGTCGGCCACATGACCCGGAAGCTGTACGCCAGCTCCCTCAGCCACTAAAGTGAGATAAGCGCGCAACCCCAGAGTCATCCACAACTGGACCTAATGGTCAGGGGTCCCTTTACCTTTACCATTATGCACAACCTAAGCATAGGATGGAGGGGCTCACAGCATTAACACCCCAACAAATCTTGCTTCTCCATTAGGTTTACAGAGAAGCCCCCAAGCCACAGCTTGGGATCCAGCACAGAGCAGACATGACTCTGTGTTTCGTTTCCAGCATCAGCCCAGCTCACACCCACAACTCTCTCCTTTAGCCTATTGCTCTTCATCCCAGGAAGAACCCCCCATTTTCCAGGGAGCACCATCACTTATTGTTGGCATCCATCTGTCTCAAGAGACAATGGAGTGCACCTTCAGGGGTGAAGTCAAACTGTTGCATTAGCAGCAGCAAAGTGACCTCTCTGGGGCGCAGGCCTGGGCAGTGTGCATGGAGGTCCTGGGCTGCCCAGATGACAAGACTCTCCCTTGTTCTCACTGATGCAGTCCAAAGGAAAGCAGAGCAATACGTTCGGCATCAGCTCATCTGCAGGAGTTGCCGGAAGGAGGCGTACAAGGCACCATCTTAGGAACTCCACTTCAGATTGGTGTAGGGCAGGGGTCAGCAAACTTTTTCAGCAGGGGGCCGGTCCACTGTCCCTCAGACCTTGTGGGGGGCCGGACTATATTTTGAAAATAAAAATGAACGAATTCCTATGCCCCACAAATAACCCAGAGATGCATTTTAAATAAAAGGACACATTCTACTCATGTAAAAACACACTGATTCTCGGACTGTCTGCCAGCCAGATTTAGAAGGTGATTGGGCCAGATCCAGCCCCCAGACCTTAGTTTGCCTACCCATGGTGTAGGGTTTTACTCTTTAGACATTTCTACTAAAGATGTCCTGCAAAGCAGCTATACACTGCTTTTATGGTGTGGACATGAATATCATCATCATCCCACCATGGATAAAGAGAAACACAGGACTGGAAGGGACCCAATGATATTATCCAGGCTGGCTCTCCCAAGTTCGTAATGATACCGTCATTTTCATGCCCTACCTCAGACTCTAACTAAACCTAAGCATGTGCAACTGACCCATCACTTCTCTGTTTACGCTATCCTTCCCTTTCTTGCTTCCTGTGTCAAATAAAGTGGTACCTCGGGTTACAGATGCTTCAGGTTACAGACTCCACTAACTCAGAAATAGTACCTCGGGTTAAGAACTTTGCTTCAGGATGAGAACAGAAATCACACAGCGGCAGCGGGAGGCCCCATTAGCTAAAGTGGTGCTTCAGCTTGAGAACAGTTTCAGGTTAAGAACGGACCTCCGGAACGAATTATGTTCTTAATCCGAGGTACCACTGTATTAGATGGTAAACTACTCAAGGGCAGGAACCTGGCCCCTTGTACTCAGATGGCACTATATAAATTATAATTAACTAGAGATGCATCAAATTCTTAAATTAGGGGGTCATTTCCATATCCACCCCACTCCCTGTTTCTATTTTGGATGAGCCCCAAGCCATCTGGGAGCTCATGTTCCCTGGAGTCCTTCGCTTGTGACTCACACGTCAATTTTGTCCAGCTTTGCAGAAGGAAAGAGGACGTCACACAGCACAGATTTCTGCCCTGGAATTTGCTCCAGCAAGATGTTGTGATGCCCACCCAATTGGGTGGCTTTAAAGGGGATTACGCTGGCGGCGCTGTGGGTTAAACCACAGAGCCTAGGACTTGCCGATCAGAAGGTCGGCGGTTCGAATCCCCGTGACGGGGTGAGCTCCCATTGCTCGGTCCCTGCTCCTGCCAACCTAGCAGTTCAAAAGCACGTCAAAGTGCAAGTAGATAAATAGGTACCGCTCCAACGGGAAGGTAAACGGCGTTTCCGTGCGCTGCTCTGGTTCTCCAGAAGTGGCTTAGTCATGCTGGCCACATGACCCGGAAGCTGGACGCTGGCTCACTCGGTCAATAAAGCAAGATGAGCGCCGCAACCCCAGAGTCGGCCACGACTGGACCTAATGGTCAGGGGTCCCTTTACCTTTACTAAAGGGGATTAGAGAAACTATTGAAAGATGTGGCTATTGACTGCTACTCTCCATGATGGCTCTGGCCTACCTCCCAAACCAGAGGTGACTTGCCTAGGAATGCCAGTGGCCAGGAAGCAGAAGGAGGGAGAGTGTGTTGCTCTCAGGTTCTGCTCCTTCTGGGCTTCTGGTTGGCCACTTTAGGAATAGGATACCGGACTAAATGGGTCTTTAATCCAACAGGGCTCTTACTATTCTCCTAAGGTGAAGGTGGGAGGTGACAAGGAGGACTATACCAGTGCTGCAACTGAGTCCCTCGGATTCCGACACGTCAAATCTTTAGGCACCAGTCAAAAGCATCCCCCTTCTCCCAGGCCTCTGACTAATTAAACAATCTCTAGGATTCTCTGAGGAAATATTATAGTCAAATGAAACCGCAGGCAGGGCTGGAAATATAAGCAAAGGAATGAGAACGATAAAGGAATCTAATGTAGGACATATGTTCTAGAAATAAGTACAGTGGTACCTTGGGACGCGGGTGGCGCTGTGGGTTAAACCATAGAACCTAGGACTTGCCGATGGGGTGAGCTCCCGTTGCTCGGTCCCTCCTCCTGCCCACCTAACAGTTTGAAAGCACATCAAAGTGCAAGTAGATAAATAGGTACCGCTCTGGTGGGAAGGTAAACGGCGTTTCCGTGTGCTGCTCTGGTTCGCCAGAAGTGGTTTAGTCATGCCGGCCACATGACCCGGAAGCAGGACGCTGGCTCCCTTGGCCAATAAAGTGAGATGAGCGCCGCAACCCCAGAGTGGGGCACGACTGGACCTAATGATCAGGGGTCCCTTTACCTTTACCTTGGGTTAAGAACTTAATTCGTTCTAGAGGTCCATTTTTAACCTGAAACTGTTCTTAACCTGAGGTACCACTTTAGCTAATGGGGCCTCCTGCTGTTGCCGCCGTGTGATTTCTGTTCTCATCCTGAAGCAAAGTTTTTAACCCGAGGTACTATTTCTGGGTTAGTGGAGTCTGTAACCTGAAGTGTCTGTAACCTGAAGCGTCTGTAACCCGAGGTACTGCTGTATTACATTTAAGGCAGTAGATAAAAGGATTTGAACAGAAGCATCCTGGAAGTAAGGATGAGGATGCCAAGGGAATATTGCATGGAAACTGAGTTGAATTTGTTAAATTGTATGAAAATCAATAAAAAAATTGTGACCAAAAAACCCCCAGTCTCCGGCCTTTTAAACTGTATGTGTGGGAGGGAGTTTGTTATGTATTTTTGCATTTTAATGTTGTAAACCGCCCTGTAATCCACAGATGAAGAGTGGTATAGAAATTTAATTAACAGCAATAACAACAGGCCTCTGTCTGTTTCATGCCCAGTTCAGAGGCTGGATCACTGGATTAATACTGGAGTAGATCTGAGTGGGTCTGGCTATCACTATTTCAAAGAACCCTTCTACTTCTGTAGTCTAGCACTGACGTTGTTTGGGCTGTGTTTCCATCATCTTCAGTTGTGTGGTATAGGATTTAACTTCTGCACATTCTCGCCAGCTTTTGTATGTAACACGATGATTTCATTGGACGATAATCTCACGAAGGCAACCAACATCCATGGAGGCTCTGCACAGAAGATCTGATGAATGTGTGGCGCTCAGGGATGAGGTCAGCCAGCGCAACTCCCGCCTCCCTTCATGTATTGATTGTGCCTGGATGTTGGTCATCGGCAGGTACCAATGGGAAGGGATGTAGTTCAATGGTAGGACATCTGCTTTGCATGCACAAGTTCAGTCCCACAGCATCTCCAGGTAGGACTGGGAAAGGACTCTGTCTGAAACCCTGGAGATCTGCTACCAGTCAGTGTGGACTATTTTGAGCTAGGTGGATCAGCGTTCTGACTCAATACAAGCCAGCTTCCTATAGATCAGAGCACACTGTGATAGCTTGTTCAGAGCACACTTCTTGCTTTCCGTGTTTCACCAAGGTCTCAGGTAAGTCTTTCTTAATATTCCTACCTGGAGTCCTTGAGGTTAGAGATGTTGGGGATTGAATTTTGGACCTCTTGCATACAAAGCATGAGGCTGTATCATTAATATCAGAGTCTGCTCCCTGAACTTTATGGAGGGGGAGGGAAAATGTGATGCAGCTATCAGAATTAAGGATGTTATCATCCATCAAGTTGGAGAGGCAATCAAATTACTGGAAGCCAGATGCAATGGTATTCAATGGGGTAGAAAATATTAGGCGTTGCAGAAGAATGGGAGAACTGGAATCCAGCAAAGGAAGGGGGTGCACATCTGCCCGTTTCTTCCTCGCCAGATGGCTCCGTTGTAGTGGCTGGATTTTGTTTCTTTCGCTGCTGATCAAGCCGTCTTCAGCAGCTGCTTTTAAAGACATAGCCAAGCAGCCGCCCAGAACGATTGTGACTCAAAACAAGCCTGGGTAAATACATAGAGCTGGATAGCTCAGTTGGTGGAGCATGAGGCTCTTAATCACAGAGCCATGGGTTTGAGCCCCACGTTGGGCAAAAGATTCTGGCATTGCAGGGGGGTTGGACTAGATGGCCCAACCAACTCTACAATTCTATGATTGAGATCCAGGGTGGCGTAATGGTTAGAGTATTGGACTAGGACATGGGAGAGCAGGATTTGAATCCCCACTCAGCCATGAAGCTCACTGGGTGACCTTAGGCCAGTCATCATCTCTTAACCAATTTCACAGGGTTGTTTTGAAGATGTAATGGGGAGGAGGAGAACCATGTAAGTCACCTTGAGATTCTTGGAAGATAAAGGTGGTATAAAGGTAAAGGTAAAGGGACCCCTGACCATTAGGTCCAGTCGTGGCTGGCTCTGGGGTTGCGGCTCTCATCTCGCTTTATTGGCCAAGGGAGCCGGCGTACAGCTTCTGGGTCATGTGGCCAGCATGACTAAGCCACTTCTGGCGAACCAGCGGAGCGCACTGAAACACCGCTTACCTTCCCGCCAGAGTGGTACCTATTTATCTACTTGGACTTTGACGTGCTTTCGAATTGCTAGGTTGGCAGGAGCAGGGACCGAGCAATGGGAGCTCACCCCGTCGCGGGGATTCGAACTGCCGACCTTCTGATCTGCAAGTCCTAGGCTCTGTGGTTTAACCCACAGTGCCACCTGCGTCCCTAAAGGTGGTATACAAATGTAATAAATAATAATGAATAAATAAAACTATTTGAACACGGTTCTGGATATGTCTGTGCTCAGGAGTCTTGTGGGGAGTGGGAGAGAGATGACCTGAATCAATGGGAAGAACACACCGGGTTTGCATGCTGAACGTCCCAGGTTCAATCCTAAAAGGACATCACCCTGGTTGAGGTGTGGTGAACCAGTCACCAACACAGCCCACTCGCCCTCCTGGTAAACAGCAGTGACACCACTGCCAGGAGGCTGTTTCTGTGCTCTGCCCCCAACAGGTGAGCTGCTCCTGTATTGCAGCAGGTTGGGTGGGAGTGAATCCTCAGCAGATGCTCAACCATGCAGATTCCTGCCATGCGCCCTGCATGGATGGGATCCTCCGTATACCCATCCATAAATATGCCAGACAGTACAGTTTTACGTGATGAGTTATAAATGATGGTCAGGGACCGTGCTGGGAGGGCTGCAATGAGGAGGAATGGTGGGAGCGTCCTCCTTCCCCTGCTCCTGCTCAGAATCCTGAATCTTCCCACAGTATAGATTTGGAACAGTGATTTGCAGAGGGACATAGTTCAGAAGGCAGGAGCTGGGAATACTGGATGGGGAACAGCTAGGAGAAGAAACACTGGAAGAGAGAGGGTTAACAGATTCACAGCCTCTAGACAGCATTCCTCCATTCAGCCCAAGGTCAAGAAGAGCTCAGAAAGTGGCAGAACAGAAAGCACAGAGGGTACAAACTCAGATTACAAGACGTAGGAGTGAGGTAGATTAATAGGGGTGGAAGGGGTGTAATCCTTAATTGGGAGCACCACAATTTCTAGAAGAGGTGTTCTTTGTTCTCTTGGTATATGCAGAGATGGCAAAATTGACGCCGCTGATAGAAGATGTAAATTTAGAATCCTTTAAAGAGAACGGGACTCATAATCTGAAGGACTGGTGGACTCGTAATCTGGTGAAAGGGGTTCGTTTCCCTTCTCCTCCACAAGCAGCTGCTGGGTGACCTTGGGCTAGTCACACTTCTCTGAAGTCTCTCAGCCTCACTCACCTCACAGAGTGTTTGTTGTGGGGGAGGAAGGGAAAGGAGAATGTTAGCCACTTTGAGACTCCTTAGGGTAGTGATAAAGCGGGATATCAAATCCAAACTGGAAATCCTTTCTAGTCTTTTTAAAAAGTTGTTTCCCTTATGCGAAGACTACAGCGGGGTCTGAAGTATAAGGAAACAGCAGAATATATTAAGAAACGTGTTAGAGTGGATGAAATTAGGTAAGATGGAACCTTAAAATGCAATTGTATGTAATTTGAGTTACAAACATCAGTGGTGGGTGAGCAGGAAGTCACTAGCTTTGCTGAATTGGAATATAATTGTTGAGTAACAACTGTAACTTTCTATATGGGAAAAAAATATTATTACTACACACACACACACTTCTGGAAAATTCACATTTTCACCTACATCAACCTTAAAGCCAAGGTGCAAATTAATTTCTGAGTAAGATTTGCAGTGCAATTACATATCCCAGTCTGAGGAGAGTTAACTATGCAGAGCCAAATGCAAGAAGTTCTTATCACTGCCCCTCGGGACACAAGATTGCTTAAGACTTTTGCCCTGTGGGTCTGCTCTTAGTAATTTCCAGTTTCAGCAAGTATTGATCCTTCATGGCTATTTTATATATCAAGGCATTTATTGGTTTCATTCCTTTGCAGTATCTCAGCACCTGGAACTCATATTCCTCTCACAATTGATTCATTATTATTTTCGGCCTCGTGATTGCTGCTAGGAAAATAAAACAGCAATTTTAGATGGCATAAAGGGGAAATTATCTTTAAATTCAATTAAGAGAATGGATGGATGGATTTCCGCTCTGGCACCCTAGTCTGGAAAGCTGATGACTTCTTCTTTTCTTACCTCATAAATACAACTGAGGCCTTCGCAGAGGCAGCCATCTTGGTTTGTGGCTCTTTTAAAAAAACTAACCAGCACCTCTGCAAAGTGTTTGCTGGCAAAAAAATTGCCCAGTACTAGCTGCCCTCTGGTTTTAAGACTTCAAGAATAATATATTATGGTTCAGGGGCATAGCGTGGGTTGCCAGTGCCCGGGGCGGGACAGGTGTTGGGACAGCCAGTGTCTAAGCAAGGGAATTTCTCCTTGCAAACTATCCCCAACCTGGGAGCAGAGATAAGGTAGAGAAACATGGAGGCAGAGAAAATTGTCGCCTGACAGCGCTGTGACAGATGGGAGGCAGAACAGGCATAGCTTGGGGAGTGTTCTGAGGGGATGCATAGAGATGCCTGGAGGGTTGCATGCAGTCCCCAGGCCTGAGGCTCTGACCCCTGCCCTATCATTGCCTCCTTTCATATTGATGCTTGCCACTTGCTCCTGTATGTGGCATCATCCAAGACCTCTGTCGAACCAGGAGAAAAAGGAATGAATAAATCTGGGGTGGGGTGGTTGGACAGGTCAGGCAGTTGCCAGGGTACATAATAATAATAATAATCATAATCATAATCATAATCATAATCATAATCATAATTTATTATTTATACCCCGCCCATCTGGGTGGCTTCCAACAAAGATTAAAAATACATTAAAATGTCACACATTAAAAACTTCCCTGAACAGGGCTGGGTGTTCCACAGGGCGGGCGCCACTACCGAGAAGGCCCTCTGCCTGGTTCCCTGTAGCTTTGCTTCTCGCAATGAGGGAACTGCCAGAAGGCCCTCGGCGCTGGACCTCAGCATCCGGGCAGAACGATGGGGGTGGAGACGCTCCTTCAGGTATACTGGGCCGAGGCCGTTTAGGGCTTTAGAGGTTAGCACCAACACTTTGAATTGTGTTCAGAAATGTACTGGGAACCAATGTAGGTCTTTCAAGACCAGTGTTATGTGGTCTCGGCAGCCGCTCCCAGTCACCAGTCTAACTGCCGCATTCTGGATTAGTTGTAGTTTCCGGGTCACCTTCAAAGGTAGCCCTACATAACGCGCATTGCAGTAATCTAAGCGGGAGATAACTAGAGCATGCACCACTCTGGTGAGACAGTCTGCGAGCAGGTAAGGTCTCAGCCTGCGTACCAGATGGAGCTGGTAAACAGCTGCCCTGGACACAAACCGAAAGCCAGCCAGGCCTAGCCCTATCATCAAGCAGAGTGAGGCGGCTGCCTCAGACGGCAGATCCCAAGAGACTGGTGGAGGACACGGTTGTATGTTTCTTGCACGCCCTAAGCTAGCCCGTTGCCATTGCCAAAATTAAGCTTGGCTTTTGTACATGAACCGGCACATTTGGTCCTTTGCCTCAGGCAGCAAAATGCCTCAGGTTGGCCCCGAACAAGCAGAAAAGTCTCCAACCTGCCTGGAGAACAGAACTACAAAAGAACTACACAGGAAGAACAAATCATACAGAGAGGAAGGGGGAAATGTTGTATTAGGCCCAAAGCATTTTGAAGAGAGTTCTTCCTCAGGGTAACTCTTCCCTTACAATTTTCAGCCCGTGATCAAACCCGTGCAACAAAGGGTTCACCAGGTTGAAACTTGCCATTCCAGAAGGTCCCTGAGGAAGAACTTGGTTCAAAATGCAAGAGGAATTAAAAAAAAACAAAACATTTTTTCCTCATAAACCTGGAGGTTTCTTCCCTTTCTTTCTCAGAGACCAGAGCTAACTATTATTATCATTTAGTAGAAGTAGTATCCTGTCCTTCCCCTGTAGCTCTCAGCTCTCATAACATAAATTACATGATAAAAACAAGAAGATAAAAACACAAACCAATAAACATGCAAAACTGGATGATACCAGGGAAAATTCCCTGCAAAAAAAAATGTGCGTATTAGGGGGAATTTGTGCTAAAATGCTCTTGAATTTTCAGGAGGACTTTTAAAAAAAATAATCACAAACTAACTCATGTGGAAAACTGAACTTAAGATGGAAACAAAATGGACTGATTTCTCCATCTCAATGGATTCAAGTTCCTAGAAAGGAGATTCCGACTAATCAGGAAGAACTCTCTGACGGTAAGAGCTGTTTGACCGTGGAACGGACTCCCTCTGGAAGTGGTGGACTCTCCTTCCTTGAAGGTTTTTAAGCAGAGTTTGGCTGGACGTCTGTCATGGGTGCTTTAGTTGAGATTCCTGCATTGCAGGGGAATTTGACTAGAAGACCCTCAAGGTCCCAACTCTACAAAGCCTATGATCCTAGCTCCTACAATGACTTTCTACACGGATCTACTATGTATCCACTCCACTTCCCAGTGGGGAGGAGTTGCGGTGGACCGCGTGGCCACCCACTCCGCACCAGGGGCGGGGGACTTTGTCCCCCGTTGACCGGGAGATCCCGGCCACATCAGAGCCCGGCCAGCCAATCTGCTACGGG